TTATTACTGTTATTAAATTATTAAATTTTTTTATTATTATTGCTGTTTATATATATATATATATATATATATATATATATATATATATATATATATATATATATATATATATATATATATATATATATATTTGTTACTGTTATTATTATTATCTATTAAAATTATCATTGTTATTAATACTATTGTAGTTGTTATTGTTTTTATTATTATTGTGTTTGTTATTAAATTTTATATCATTAATTATTAAGTTTATTATTATCATTGTTGTTTTTATTATTATTACTATGAGGGTTTTTTTTTTTTTTTTTTTTTTTCGCAAAATCTTTCCTACAGTCATTATTATACAAACCATTCATATATTTTGTAAACTTCTCCGTTCTCTGGTTTGCATATTTCTCTGCTATATTTTTTATGTTGTCATATTTATTATGTTTGCATTATCAAATAGTTTTTATCAATAAGTAGGCTATAAAACCATGGTAACATATTTGGGTCAATGCTTTATTCAGCTTTTATGTTGTTGTTTTTTTTTTGTTTTTTTTTACTTTTTAATTGTTTTGCTGTTTGAATTTTTTTTTTAAGTATGAAATTTCTGTAGCTGTCATGTTTTTTAAAGTTATTTTTCTATTTGAACTTTCTTTAGTTGTCATGTTGTTTAAAGATATTTTTTTATTTAAACTTTCTTGTCATTATGTTGCTTGAAAATTTTTTTCTATATCTATTTTTCTATATTCTATATGATCTTTCTCTTATACTTAAACAAAACTTGAATCATGTCATAATAAGTCCAAAAAAAAAATTTAAAGCATTTTTATGATATTTTTTTAATGGAGTAGATCTTACCTATTAGCTTTATCTTTTCTTATCTAATATTTTTTTTAAAAAAGATTTTACAATTGTTTAATAATAAAGTCACCATTCAATTAGATTAAAGATACAGAATATTAAAATATTAAAGTAGAAAGAATATTAGATAGTAATATTAGATAGTATTAGATAGTAGAATTTTAAAATCTAAACAAATAATTTAACATTTCAAAATTTTTTGCATATTATTGTGCATACTTTATTTGTTCGTATTTTTTTTTTACCATTTGTTTTTTTTATCATTTTATGATACAAAATGCATTAAAACATTCAATTTTACAATACTAGAAAATTGACAAAGTGAAAAATTATTTGTATAAGTGTTGACTTTTACCAATAAAGATACATCTATTGGTATACAGTGAAGAACCCAGAGTTTATTTTTGATACCTTTTTTTTTCTGGCAATGTTTGAAAGGCGGGAGGTTTAATGTTATATTTTGAATACACGAATTTACCGATGGACAATGTTACTTTAGTTACGATAAGAAAACTGTTTTACCTAGACTTTAATAAACGCTTTTGTTGCAAATACCACTATTAACTATTACTATTAAGGCTTCCACAATACGAAAATATTTGCGCAAAGCAAATTTTTTCGTCGATAAGCATGCGCAGATGAAACATTTCTGTTAAAATTAACATAAATGTTTTATCTGTGCATGCTTATCAACAAAAAATTTGCTTTACGCAAATGGGTTCGTCTTGTAGAAAACAGCTTTTAGTAAATAATTTGTTGTGTCTAGCACAACGGTACTGTTGCTTTTTTTTTTAATTCTTAAAGTCATGGTAGTAAAGTTTGATTGGTTTATTTTAAGTTGTGGCTGCAAATATTATTGGTTGACTTTGAAAGTTTTATTTGTACAAATTTAAAAAGAATTACAACTTCACAATGCAAGTTTAGCATTGCGGTATCTCAATGGTTTATCTACCACGATGAGCTGGAACAAGTCCTTCAGTTAGAAAATTTTTTTAATGTTTTTTAAGTATTTTTTATTGACAGTTATTATTATTGTTGTATATTAAAAGTTACATTGATTTTTATTATTAACATGCATCAACTGATATAGGAATAAATGCTGTGAGTGTACATACATCCACTGATTTAGGGATAGGCGCAGTGAGTGTACATACATAGACTGACTTAAGGATAGGCGAAGTGGAGCGCACATACATCAACTGATTTAGGGGTAGGTGCAGTGGAGCGCACATACATCGATTAAGGGTTTTGGTTTGGGCATGCATTCTTTAAATTAAAAAAAAAAAAAACAACCAATCAGAAATCACTACTGTGACTTTAAGAAAAAAATTAAAGCGATGGTACCGTTGTGCTAGACACAGCGTTTTTTTAAACTAGTATGGAAAGGACAGTTATGTCACGTAATTACATAAAAATGTCACGTAATCACATAAAAAAGCAATTACTTTTTAATTCATTTTATTGACCAGAAGAAAAAATGAGGTAGCTAAAATAAACTGAAAGCTATTTATATACTACTGCATTTGAAACTGAATTTTTTTCTTTCTATTTTTAATAAAAAAGCAAAAGAAAAATTAAATAATATAAAAATAATTTTGGGGCGCTTTTTTTTGGGCGCCCATACCGCCCCAGCAGTACTAAAAAAGGTCTGGGTTCATCCCTGGTATATCTAAAAAGTAAATCTATAAGTATATCTTAAGGGTATATCTATAGGTATATTTATAGGTATATAGGTATATTACAGGTAAATTTATTTGTGATGTGGTTTAAGTTTGAAAGCCCTTCAAATGGTTACACAAAATTAGTATTAATGCCTCTTCATGAAAATGTAATGCCTGCAATTCAATGCTTACAAAATTAAATAATTGTTTTATTTTAGTTTTTAAAATGTATAGAAAAATATTTTTTAAATTTTACAAATAAAAATATATTTATTATAAATATATAATTTCTGACTCACTGAAAAGTTTTTTAAAAACAAGCTTTATTGAAATTAATTTTAAAACATACCTTTAAAAACTTGATGCAAAAGCATTTAAATTATAATTAGACATAATACATCATAATACATAAAACTACTCTTAATATGTATCATAATACATAAAACTACTAAATGTTTTTTAAGTTTAAAACAAGATTTTTGTTTTTAAGTTTAGTACACTCAGAAAAAAGACACAACAGAAATGAACAAATTTAGTTATTTAAAATAGTACTGCTAGTATATAATTTAACATGGGAATATCCAGCTAAAAATGTTTATTAATAAATAATCCAAAGAGATTTTTATAGAGTAATGACATTTAGAGTAATGACATTTAAAGTAATGACATTTAGATTATTAGTTAAGTTTATAATATTAATTAAAATAAATCAAAGTATTGTTGAATCAAAGATACTTCAAGATTTAAAGTCAAAATGTTTTTAACATAAAAGAACATAAATTAAAAAACTTAAAGTTGTTAAAGCTTTTTTTTTCTTTTTCTTTGAGTACATTATTTGGATTACTTAGATCAGTTAAAGTAATCATCAATCAAAATACAAGGGGTAATGTATATTTTTATAGATTAAAAAGCAAGAGGGTAATGTTTATTTTTATAGATCAAAAAGCAAGGGGGTCTGTAAATGTATATTTGTATAAATGTCAATTTGTACCTAAAGAGTTTTCAAAAGTTATCAAAAATATTTTTTCATGAATATATCAGTTTAAATGTTTTGAAAAATAATTTCTCTAAAATTGAATTTGTTTGAATGTTTTGAAAAAAAAAAAATTTAAATTTAAATTTGTTAGTTAATTTCTGTAAAATTGTCACTGTAAAATTGACATTGTAAAATTGTTCAGAATATAATTCGAAACAATTAAGCAAAGTTTTTTTTTTTATTTTGACTAACATGGCACCAAATTAACAAAAAATTTAAATTAACCAGGCATTTAGAAATGTAAATATTCAGTTTTTTCAGTACCATTAATGCCACTTAAAAGTTATTCAAATCCTTGATAATAAAAAAAAAGAAAAATAGTAAAGGTAAAGGCAGGATGTATTTCTGAAAAAAAACCTAGTTAAGATAGTTAGAAAATTGTAACCGCAAATATCATTTTCCAGCAGGTAGGATCGCAAGATCCACTTCAAGCAACCAGTAGTTAGAGCACATACTTTAGAAGCAAAAGAATTAATGATGACAATAATTAAAAAAGATTTAGGTTAGAGCTCAATGCAAGCTCTGAGCATATATCATTATATATATATCATTGTATCATTGGTAAGGAAAGAGGCATGAACTTTCTAATTAAATGGTCTTCCATGGTTAAAAAAATATTATACATATATATATATATATGTATATATATATATATATATATATATATATATATATATATATATATATATATATATATATATATATATATATATATATATATATATATAATATATATATATATATATATATATATATAAATATATATATATATATATATATATATATATATATATATATATATATATATATATATATATATATATATTTAAAACAATTGTTAAAAAGTTTAGAGGTTTAGAGTGTAATAAAGAGAATTCTGGAGAACACTTTTGTAAGAGTGTGACAGAACTGTTGTCTTGACTACAAACTTGTGGTTCAGGAAACATTACTAGTTTGATTACCTTCATTATATTTTGCTAATGAAAAAAAAAGCTAATCAAATGCTTTTAGATCCTACGATATCTAAAATAATTTTGTATACAAAGAACATTAAAGAGGAATATAAGTAAAAAAATATAAGCATATAAAAGCATATATTCAAACTATATATTAAAGATAGCATATATAATCTCTATACTATATACTATATAATATATACTATAGCAAATATAAATTAAATAAACTGTAGTATATATAAATTTATAGAAATATTAGCAATGTTTCATGCTTTTAATATCAAAAATGTCAGCTATTTTACTCGCTTTTAGTGTTTTTTTTATATTATAATGATTTTTAAATCCTGAGATTTCAGTTTTTAAATTAACTCAGTTTGATGCTCAGATAATTCATATCAGTCATGTCTGATGCTCAATTTTTCTATTTTTTAATTTTTTTTATTTTTTTTATTTTTAGTAAAAAAAGATAAATACAAAATAAACATTTAAACATTTTTATAGATATGAATGAGGCATTGAATGGATCTCTGTCTACTGATGACAGTTATGGAATTTTTTGGGATGAATACAGAGTTATAGAACAAAGCACAAACCATTCAAGTTTTCAGAAGAACTTTGATGTAGAAGATGGAGCCCTTAAGAAGGAGGGTATAATTTATTTATTTTTATAAAAATATTTTGTTAATTGTAGAGAAAAGGGGCACAGTTTTTTACATATACCACATATGAAAGAAAATAAAAACCTTCATTTACTGAGGAATCAATATAGTTCTGGAATATTAATACAATTTTGTGTAGTCTGCTATTATTTTTTTAACTAGAATTAACATTTTATTGTTTAAAAGTTTTTGACAATCAATTAAAAATAAAAGTTTTAATCTTTTTGCTTATTGATTGATTGCTATATATTATTTGATTGCTATATATTTATACAAAAACATATTCATGTTTTTATTTTTATCATAATAAATCTCATATCATAATATCTCATAAATATTTTATGTAAATTTTGACAGAATTTTTTGTTTTTTAAAAAACATTTAATAAATTTATTATAGCATCAAACTTCAATATATATATATATATATATATATATATATATATATATATATATATATATATATATATATATATATATATATATATATATATATATATATATATATATATATATATATATATATATATATATATATATATCCTAACTATATAAACAACCCTTATTTATTTACACTCAATTTATTTACACTTATTTTGATTTACTCCTTTATTCTACTCCATTATTCACTAATGAAATACGAAAGATCACTTAATTTATTTTTAAATTTGAGATTATTAAAAATATTATATTATCAAATAAATGTTTTTCTGTTTCTGTTTTACCTGTTTTGTATTAACCTTTTTTTTTTATCAACATAAAATGATATAAATACTTAAAATGTTTAGAATGTATTTTAGAAAATAATGAGACAAAAATACAGTGGTTAAGTGATGTTGGTTTTACGAATATTGCAAAAAAGTTTAGAGGTTTTTTTTTTATTTTTATTTGTAAAATGATGATGATGATGATGATGGTGATGATGATGATGATGATGATGATGATGATGATGATGATGATGATGATGATGATGATGATGATGATGATGATGATGATGATGATGATGATGATGATGATGAATAAAGTTATAATTTTTTTAGAGAAAACTGAAATTGATCATAATGATGTTGATATGAGAATTATTACAGCTTCTTTAACTCGAGCTCAAGCAAATGCAGTTCGTCAGCGCATTGATGCTCTTAATGAAGCTATTCGCCAAAGTAAATTGCGTGATGAAAATCCAAGGCGCAATCACTTAAAATCAAAACATAAAGATGTTCGTGATCTCTTTCAAATTGATTCTAGTATAACCAAAGATTCACAACTTAGGTATAAAATTATAAGTAGCTAAGGCATAAAAGCATGGGATAAGTGAACTTATCTTAAAACACTGAAAAAATTAGATACAATTTTTTATACCTCAGTTATTCAAATATTGAATAACTGAGGTATAAAAAAATATGAAAAATCAAAGTATAGATAAAAAATATTATGTAACTGAGCCATAAAAATATTAAATAACTGAGGTAAAAAAAAAAAATTCAGAATAAGTCAGCAAAAAAAAAAAAGTAGGAGTAAGCTGTTAAATTATGTTTTTATATAATATTTTAGATGTTATAAGTATTGTTAATATTTTTGATATTTAAAAGTCATTAAATATTGAAATCTGATGATAATAATTTTTTTCATTATTTTAAAGTTCACAAAATTCTGCAGAAGAATCAAAAAGCAAAATTATTAAAATTCCTATTTCTTCTGTTTCTTCTCAAAAGCCCGACTTGTCTCAAATCTCTGCTAAACATGAATTCGAGAAAAGTAAAAATGTCCAAGAAGGTGTGAGGAAGGTGTGTGAAGGTGTGTGATTTTTATTTATTATAAAGAAGGTATGTGATTTTTTGTGTGCTTTTCACTTTTAACTTTTGTTTAGTTGTTATGTATTATTTAAAACTGTTTTTAGACCAAGATTTTATAAAAAATGATTACAAAATAAACAAACAAACAAAAAAAGAAGATAATCTTGTCCTATGTACAGCAATAAATAACTTTACCTTTAAAACTGGACAACAGCGTAACGAAACTTTTAAAACTGGACAACAGCGTAATGAAGATCCAAAGCAAAATGTGTCCAGGCCCAGGAGTTTGATTATGGAAAGCGACAAAAAATATAATTTGCATCGTAAATCTTCAGAAATTTATAATACCTCTGCGGCAATTAAAGAAAGAAATACAGAAGACTGTATTAAAAAAATACAAGATATTTTTGAAAATAAGTTTGTTCATGAACAAAACTCTTTACCAAACTCTTTAACAAAATATAATAGCTCAGCAAAGTCTGGAACCACTTTACTACTTGAACAAAATAATTCTGAACAAACTAATAATTTTTATTCTAATATACAAATGCAAAGCATTGAATCTCTAAATAATAATAGATTATTGACATCAGATAGTTCATCTGATTTAAATTTAACACAAAATGTTTTACTTAGTAATTCACATGGAACAGATGACAAAAGACTGGTTCGCGTTGATAGTAATTACATTAAAGTTTCATATGTTGAAGATAGCTACATTACAACAAATAAGTGTATGGAGCTATCTCCAAAAGTACAATTAGAAAATAAATTCAATAATTTCAGAACTAAGCATGATAGCTCTAATGATAAGCAGTATAGTCCAATACTATGTATGAAAAACTCTCTTGATATATTAAATCATAGTGGTAGTGAAGATAGCAAAAGTTTATCAAGTAGAGGTAGCATGGAATCTTTTGATGAACTATCCATTAGCAAAAATGAAAGTATATATGACACTGTTTCTATATCAAGTGGTTTAACTGATGATAAGGATACAAATGAATCATTTGAGTTTGTAGAATCACCATTAGTTTTGGATGGAGATGCCAAGCTGGTGAGTTTATATTTTACAAATTTTGTACAGACATGAGCATCGATTTAATAAAACTTTTGCCAGCTTAACCTTGAAAAATGTTGAAAAATAACTTATAGTGTTAAAGTAAAACAATTATTACATTTTATAAAATATTATTTTAATATGTATCATATTTTATTGTTTATTATTTTTATATTACTTAGTTATTGTTTACTTAATATACTTAATTATTGTTTTCGAAATGAAATCATAAAAAATTGGCAGTTTAATCGAATAGAACTTATTCTATTAAATATTTTTATTAGTTTAGTTTGTTAACATATCACTATTTTGTTATGTTGTAAACCAAACTAATAAACAATATTTTTATTAGTTTGGTCTATAACATAAAACTATATATATATATATATATATATATATATATATATATATATATATATATATATATATATATATATATATATATATACATATATATATATATATATATATATATATATATATATATACATATACATATATACATGTATACATATATATATATATATATATATATATATATATATATATATATATATATATATATATATATATATATATACATATATATATACATATATATACATATATATATATATGCGGTAGTGGTGTAGTGGTAGAGCACTCACAGGAAGTTCCGAGTTTGATCCCCACCACATACCTGGTAGTACCGCGTAGTATTTTCACAACTTTTTTTTTTCACATTTTAAAGGAAAAATATATATATATATAATAATGGTTGTCTAATCACCAGTGTTGTAGGAGGACAACAGAAATTTGTTTTTGTGTCAGCACATATAGACCGTTTTTCCCCGTTTTTGCAATTATTTTCTTTTTATTATTACAATTGTATAAAAAATTACTATTGTGAGAACCAATTATGGATTTGATCTTTGGCATACAAGAATAACTGATCTTAATTGAGTTTTTGTTAAATATTTTGTGTAGGCAATTTGAAATTGCATTGGAACATATAGAAGGTGTAACCAAGTAATTGCTTTTTTTCTTTGGTTTTATATTTAAAAAAAAGGTGTCCCTGTTAGTGCTTTTAATGTAATAAACAGGAATAATTGTTGCATAGGATGTCATGTACAGGAATGATTGTTGCATAGGATGTCATACACAAATGATTGTTGCATAGGATGTCATGCATTGGAATGATTGTTGCATAGGATGTCATGCACTATGATTGAGTCAATTTGTCTAATGTTACACATGATTAAATTTAAAGTATTGTAAATACAGCCAGTATTGTAAATACAGCCAGTATTGTAAATACAGCCAGTATTGTAAATACAGCCAGTATTGTAAATACAGCTGGTATTGTAAATACACCCAGTATTGTAAAATAAAGTTTCAATCTTTTGGAAATATTTGTGGTCTTGGAGTTAACTTTTTATCTTTAAAGATTTTTTTGAAAAAAAGCAAGTAGTCTCACGAGAGCCACATGCTCTTTGTAAGACTATTTACTTTGTAAGACTAATTTCAATTTGGCTATTTTGTCTTTACTCCCAACAAGGCTATTTCAACATCTTTACTCCCAACAAGGCTGCAAGCAACCACTATTAGAGTTGGAAGTTACTGGAAGAGAAAAAATGAAGTTTATAGAGCAAGATAACAATTAACAGACAACTTAAAAGATTGCAAATTATGTGAATCAGGAAAACAAGAAGAAAGGAGCAAATTCCAAAGAACTGATGTTCAAGGATAAAAACTAGATAAATAAGTATTTTTTAAGCAATTTTGAACAGTCACAGTAAAAGGATAAGACTTAATTGAATGACAAGTAACAAGGGAATAAATTTTAGAAGATGGTACATAAGATATGAGCTCTTTAGAGCAGTGGCCCTTATAATATTTATAGAAAAGGAAAAGATAAGCAAAATTACGACAATGTGATAATGGCTGCAAGAGCAGGTTCAACTATGTTTACAATGTGTCTTTGCACCTTGTCTAAAAGAGAAAGGGCATCATTGGAAGATCAGCCCTAAATTTGACATTTATAGAGCTAAAGAACTCCTTTATGAACTCCTGAAGTTACAGGATATGAAGAAGAGTGCTGTCTATTGAGGACAAGTTTAATACTACAATTGGTAATGAAGATACGCCATTAGAAGAAAGCTTACAGAGAAGAAATGTTGAGAGCAATTTCTAAAGCCTTAACTTCTCCACATCTATCTAATGCACAACAAAACCTATTGGTTATTACCGTAAACAAATTAGTAGTAGAACAAGAAGATCGAAATCCATATTGATGATCAAAAAGTAAGTTATTAGATTCAAAATGAGAGATTAAATGTTTGTTAATTAAAGATTCAAAAACCTTGTTTATGATAGACTGAAGACTAATGGGATGGTAGTTGGACAAGTCAGATTGCTCTCCAGAATTTTTGAAAATAGAGATAACAGATGCCGCTTTCCTGCAGGCTGGAAAACAAGACTTTGATATGCAATTTTAAAAGTATAGACGATAGCTCTGAAAAACACTTCTGCAAGACTATAACAGGTATGTTTCCAGACCACAAGCTGTAGAAGAGTCTAAGCAGAAAATCACTTTAGATGCAGAAGCTTGAGTAATACAAATGTCAAGCAATGGATTAACCTGTTTGTTGGCTATATCAGGTAGAGCGCAACTAGTGGAATCAAGAGATAAGATTGATACAAAGTTCTTAGCAAACAATTCAGCTTTGTCTTTAGCTGAGGTGATAAAATCTGAACCATACAAGAGAGGTGAAAAACAGATTTGCCCTTATTATAGATACTGTTAAAGATTCTCCAGATGTCACAAGAAATTTTTGAAATGAAATATGAGATTTTGGGGCCTGAGAATAGTGGGCTTCAGCATTAGACAAAACCTTGACATTGACAAATTTTTGACAAATGGTTTTCAGCAATAGTAAATTATATAATAAAATGCAGCAGCATAATGTGAGGAAAACCATGGAGAAGACTGAGTCTGGACTTGGAATCCTTGAGACGGAGTAAAAGATTCCATGCCAGCCTAAATCCAAGAAGTAAGAAGCACATTTGTCAGAAAGAAGACAAAAGATTTCTACCCAAGGGCCATCACAAAGAAAATCATGGAAAAAGTGTCAGTCAGCTTAAAGGTAGTTGTAAGAGGTACAGTAATAAATTCTGATGATGAAGAAGAATGAGATAATAGTTTAAGAGAGATTAAACCATAATCAGAAGCACCTAAGGGTGAATGTGGAGAAACTGAGCACTGACTAGGATCAGAAAAAGACTTTAGTGGAGTAGATAGGTAAATGGTTTGGATTGTCTAGAAAGCGAGTTGGAAAGTTGACTATTTGTGTTGAGATTGAGTAAGGCAAATGTTTTGGGCCTTAACGCCTACAGAGTCACTGACACTAGAGCCAAGTCATTCAGTGTGATGAGCATTAAAGTCACCAACAACAACAATTTTTGCTGAAAAATAAAGAGAGAGAGCTTGGTCAATTTAATCAGAAATAATATCAAAAAGAGTGCAGTTATGTATAACAAAGAGAAAGGGGGTAGAGTGAAGTGGTGCTAAGCAAAAGTACATAAAAAAAATAATCTGTGGATTCAAACCTAGTTTGCCGACAAATGGGTGAATTCTTACGAATGTAAATGACAAGGCCAAGCATGTGACTATTAGAGTGTTTACGAATTAAAGGAAGATTACCATCAACACTAAGATCACAAGGTGAGACAGCTGAACTCAAATTAGTCTCACAAAGAGCAAGTAGGTCTGGTGAACTTTGCAAGAGATAAGACTCAGCAGAAGAAAAGTTACTTCGAAGACCATGAATATTAGTGAATGATAGATTTAGAGAACTTGGTGATGATGATGGTTTTTTGTGTTTTATAGTTTTTTGTACTTAAGTCATTTTTAAATTTGTTAAAGAACTTGATTCAAAGCACAGATAGTACTCAGTGCACTATTTAATAGTCTAAGCAGTTGTCTCATTACTATTAATAAACCCTAAGCCGCAAACGAAGAACTCCAAATGTGGCCTTGATAATGCACACTAAAAGTACAAACAGGTATACCATCCATGCGCAACATGACACTGTTAGAACTCTGATATTTTACAGCTGTTGATGGATTCTCTCTGAGAGCTACCACAGAGTTCAGGAAACCTTATTACCACCTGGCCTTAGAACCATAAAAATCATGCATATCATTTATTAGTCGTAAATTTAGGTTTGAGTTCTCAGAGTGTTCTGATATATGCTTTCACTTAGCACTTTTTCATTCAAACTTTATTCTTTTTTTTCTTTATTGTTCTCCATCTTTTCAAGAATGTACTTTTTTTAATGTTATCAGACAATATTATTGTTATGGTTACTATTGTTATGATACTTATCACACTGAATGGCTTATTTCTAGTATCACTGACCTTCTAGATCTAAAGCTCAAAATTTTTGTCTTCCTCAATCTCTTACTAAGTTAGTTAATTTTGGTTTTTGAATAAAACTTGAATAAAAAATGAATAAAACTTAATTTTCCTCTACTCTATCATCATTTTCGTTTAAGATTTACTGAAAAAAAACCTTTAAGATGACTGGAATTTGTTTAGTGAATTTTTTTGTGAACTTGGACTGATGTCTTTTTTTTCTCTGCTGAAAAGTGCGCCTTTTTTTATAATGTATTCTGACAGTTATGGTAGCTTTTATTTCTGTTTTATGTCTGTTTCAGGTGGAGTCTCACTCTACCCCATAGGTTTTTCTTATTGTGCAGCTATTTTTAATTATATTTCCATCTTTTTCACTAGTACATAATTCTCTGGAGATTAAACATCTTTCTCTTATTTTAAGAAATCTATGCAAAAAAGTACTGTCTGATGCTAAGCTCCATAATTCTCAGTTTACTATGGTATATTATTAAAGAAATTAGGTTCTAAAGACTTTTTGAAAGCTATTAATGAACTTTAACATTTTTACTAATACACAGGTCTGATCTTATTACCTCTTTCAAGGATATAGCAGAGAATTTT